ATCTAACCAGGTAACACAACACATCTGTAACCAGAGTAACCCGGTTAACCCGATTGTATGCGCGTTATAATAATACAGTAAAAACCATACTTATTACCATGTTTCTAAACGGTAATCAATTTTATTTCAATATTGTCTGTTTTTTACTCTACTGTCTATCCGCGAGAAGAAGGTCATGCAAGTGCTTACATTTACTCGTATGTGTGTGTGTGTTCATATTTTGTATATATTTATTCCGTCTTTAACTTATGTCTGTTCATTGTACATTTATTATGCCAAATAATTGTTGAAGTTTAAAAAGAAAGTACAAATACCGTTTCTAACAACACTCTAAAATTAATCAATCCTACATTCATTATATACTCGTACATTTTAAACAATCTATATAGTTTCATTTGATTTGAATATTGCCTGTAAGTTCACATATCTTTGACTTGTCTGGATGTCTAGGATGTCTTCTTCTACTAGTAACCCACTCCGAGCAGGTTAACCCGCTCTTCCTACAATTCAAGAACCGTTCCTTCGTGGTTAGTATGGGTTACAGTAACCTTCCCTTCATTAGCCGGGTTTGGGTTAGGGTTCAGCAGCGGTTCGAATCCCTGCGTGGGCATGTATACTTTAGTGTCGCGACACCCTTGTCGTCCTACGGATCAGTTACCCGGGCCAATAAAGCAATAACTACTGTTTCGGTTTACGACCTCACAAGATCCCTTCCAACGACTATACCTGGATATCCGTGTATTTCGATACCTGGACACCCGTGCATTTAGATATCCGGGTATCGATGTATTTCGATACACGGGTACACGGGTATTAGGAATACACGGATTAAAATACGTATCAATTAATTACCTGTGTACCCGGGTATTTCGATACACGTGAAGTAGGGATCTTTAGTATAAATCGACCTTAATTCATCAACAGGGACAGTGCGTTATTCGCATGTCGGTCGCTGCGCTGCACAGACCAGTGACTAGTGACCGAAACAGTACTCAGAGATTTTATATCATTCGTAGGACTTCTTAACAACCAATTATTGCAGATAAAATAAAAAAATGCATTTCTTATTTATTTTAAGTAGCTCGTATGCCATTTTAATTTACATAACGCAACTTACAGATTTTTTCAATAACAGTGGCTAATTGAATAGAAAGAAAAAGATCCGAAATTGATAAAGAGGAATAAATTCGTTTGAACTTAACAATAACAAACAATGTTACATAATCGAACGAATATAGATAATAAAAATATAATAGAACAAATTTAATGATACATTTCCGTGTGATATATCCTAAAGCATGGATCAACACATAAACCTACATCACATTCTTTACATTCGTATCTAGTTTCTCGACGAATTTCATGGTTACTATATACTGCACATTTGCGAGCATGATTTTTCTTTTGAGAACGGATTAAAATACGTGCTTGGAAAATGCCTTCCAATGAAATGTAATAGACCGTCAGTGTTTCTTCTGCCTTGATATTTACCTGGAGTTCGTAGATACTTACGTAGTATCTCTTCTATTAGTAATACATGATATGTGTTAGTTGCCGATGTTTCAATGGATGATAAAGTCCATATCGAATCAATCGGTAAAACAAGGAAGGTATCTATATACAGGATGTCCCAAAAATGTTGGAGGTCCTTGAAATGGGTGGTTCTTGGGGGGGGGGGGGGCGATTTGAAACGATTTTCTCTGGTGAGTAATAATACAGTTTAATTAGAAATTATTTCATACTTTTCGCTGCATTTTCTCATACTTTTAAGCAATTATATCTAGAGATGGCGAGTATTCATACAAATTAACTAGAAATTATTTCATACTTTTTAGTTCAGTTTTAATGTATTTAGAGGACGATATACTTTTTTTCCCAATAATTATTTTATCTTATGAATTTTGAGGATAGTTCCTTCTCCTCCTCCCCCTCAAATATGAAAAGGGACAAAATGGAAACTACATATCTAAATATTTTACGATATTTGACGCACGTTGAACGTTTCAAAGCAGCCAGGATTACATACAAAATAGCATTTTACGAATCATCGTTTTATTTAAGCGTGATAGCTGCAGAGGTCAATAGTGTTACCTATATTGAAAACATCTTTCATGTTCTAGGTTCTCTCAAAGAACAGAAATTTCCATGCATCAGTCATAATTGTGATGTTAGGCTGTAAGAAGGCAGACGGTCATTGCGGTAAAATGCTATAACGAATGTTGTTCTTATGCAAACATGTAACCTTGTCAAAAACAGAATAAAAGAAGACAAATATAATATAATTTCACGGTAGTGATAAATATCGTATTAAACTGTATAGAGTGCAGTGAAGTGAAGCGTTGTGTCGAGCAAAGTCTTGATAATGTACAAACCTAAAGTTACTTTAAATCAAGGTAGAGTGCGAGGCATTCTTGTTAAAGGTGTTCTAGGTTCACCTTACTTTGGATTTTTCGAGATACCTTTTGCGGCACCACCCATTAGAGAACTTAGATTTAAGGTAATTATTTAGGTAGAGCAGACGAATACAAATAAATTAAATCCCTTTTCAAACTTTAGAATTTTAATAAATTTAGAGTAATGGTCTTCATAATAAACATAAAAAAGGTTATATAGGTTTGTAATATTAATAAAAAAATTACAAATTTAAAATTAACACAAACTAAAATGATGTTTAACCTGACAATAGTTAAGAGTGTTGATAATAATTGAATATACACTATCTTAGACGATATGGAATGAAGCTTTGTATTAGGAATACGTATTTATGTGAAACTCATGTCTAATTATAGGAAATCTTTATGAAACTGTTAAATTATTTCACTAGATTTGAAGGTAGCTGGGGATTCCTACCATCATTCTAATCTATCTAAGATTATGCCGAATAGGTCGTACAATCTGTTAAATTGTCGACTAGATTCGATAAAATGTGTGCGTAAGGAAGTGACTGTTTTATTCTATTAACGTACATATTTATCCAAGTGTCTGTCGTTGTGTGTTTGATTTGATTTGGTCAAAGTTTAGGATTTAATTTACCTCGTAAGATTTAGCTAGTATACTTACAAACGGATGGAAAACTTTCGATAACACCTTGATAAGATATCCGAAACGTAGGCGTAATCTGCGGTCTTTTAATAATGGAATTTGACTTTTGATAGATGTTGGCAACACGAAACCGTGTTACTAAGATAATGTAAATTGTTTCAGTTAATATTACTTGTTCATTCATTAATATAGCTGTAAGTGATTGTGGGTGGATAGTGGCACAGTTATACGACGGTTAAAAATGGCGAGCATTTTTTATTCAGACGCACGCGGATGTGCATGCCTACCGATCATAAGATCAGATTTTGGTCTACCGATCATAAGATCAGATTTAATAGAGATCCCTACTTCACGTGTATCGAAATACCCAGGTACACGGGTAATTAATGAATCCGTGTTTTAATCCGTGTATTTTTAATACACGGGTACCCGGGTATCGAAACACATGGATATACAGGTACGCATCGAAATACAGTGGGTGTAGAATGTATTCGTACACCGATCAATTTCCCAAAAAACTTTTCTGTGAAATTGTAGTTTTTTAACTTCCTTTCTTAGAATCAATGATATTTTACATATTCTCGGAAGTCTCTAAGATAGATATACTCTAAACAACATTTACTAGTTGATATAATTTGTGAAATTAACAAAAAAAATGCGAAAAGTGGGTAAAAGTATAGAAGCAATAAATATTTGTACGATTCTTATAACGAACCATTTACAGCAGAGTTTGTAACGTAAGCACATTATTTTATTGCTCCGTACGAATTAGAAAACATCAAATTTCCAGGAAAGTAATTTTAAACAGTTGTGCGAATACTTATTGCTTCAATATTTCTATCGATTAATTGTTTTTTCTTGTTAATTTCGCAGCTTACATAAATAGCTATTTTTTTTTCTGTAATCTATCTATTCTAGACATTTCCTAGAACATGTAGAATACATGTAGAACAATAGAATAAAAGTTTATCAAAAATAAGTTAATAAATTACAATTTTACAAGAGTTTTGTTATTGTACAAATGAATGACAAATATCTAGGATCGGTCGTCGCAGGGCGAAATTTCATGAAAATTGCGGTTAATGTCATAATAAACACTGTTCTTGAATACGTTGAGTATTTTGATGCGCACTACGTATCAACGTATTTACATTATATATTCCGACCAGTACTACGTATCAACGTATCTGTTTTGCGTATTGAATACTTTCGTATTACTGGTAGCGGCAATATATTGAATAAATATCGTATCGACGATTAGTAATGCTACTCTGTAGTGAGGATGCATTCATTGCTCTTAAATGATAAGGTCAGGCATATTAGAATTTTATTTATCGGTATAAACCTTCTACATATAAGCCTCCGCTAAGTAATTCATAACTGTTTCAATTTTGATATCTGTCCGATAGATTGTACAAGTTTCTTCGAAGACCTTGCGATTAACCTAGCAATAGAGACAATTGTTTATCTTTTGTATGGATGATTGTTAAATTGTAGGATCGTGACCACCACTTTTTCTTGGTCGTGTTAACTTGGTCGTCCCACTCCAAGTCCCCTCAAAGAAAGCTAAATTCGAGAATTCTTTTAAAAAATTTCATAAAAACAGTGGAAAATTCAGTTAGGTTACTTTATTAAATGCATAATAGAGTGTAAGAAAAACATTTTTTTATATGTTAAATAGCAGTTTAAGAACCCAAGATTTCAAAGCACTTTTCACACGAGGCTACAAATTGATGAAAGGATTGAGCACACAGATTTTAACCTGGAAGAAAGAACCAAAAATTTCCTGTTAATATGTCACAAGCTACAAGACAACGTAGGGAATTTTAATAATTCCGTTTATTTACAAAACGGGCACATTTAAACAAAAAATTAATTTTCACCCAAACATTTCATAAAAGTGTTTAAAGAAAAAGTAGAAGAAAATTTTTTTTTTATTCTTCAGGCGTTAACCCTTTCGTTACGACCTGTGTGTACGAGTCCAACTATAGCCGACCGCGGGGCCCGCGGGATGACCTGTGTGTATGAGTGCGGCACATTTCGCGGCGCGATGCCCCGTTCAGTGGCGTCACTTCCGCGGCGCGTACTGCCGTAAGCAAAGGGTTAAGATAACATATTGTAGACAAAATCGATTTGTTATTATTTCTGGAATTACCTTACTTCAACGGCTTACTCCTTACGGAGTTACGATACTCAAACGCTTTGAAACAAGTTAGTGTACTCTAGAAGCCATACAATTTTATACGATGCCGAATGACATGTTCCAACTTAACATAACAACAGAACACAATAATGAATCTTTATTTTATCCTTTTTCGAATGACTAGCTGGTTACGTTATTGACCTCTAACTCCATTTCAACCTTCGTATTACAGCTTGTATCCGGAAATTTATTCTTTATGTGTACGAATGGCGTTTGTGCAGATCAGTAATATCGTCAAATATACACCATGAAATCATAACTCATGTTCTAGTTGTTGTTTGAAGGGGATATAACACACTAATTAATTTTAACTGTGTCTTTTATTCAAAGCCAAGATTAGATATTATAAGATAGTGATAAGCTCCCGCTAATGACACAGATATTATTTAAAGCACAAAACCTGTGTATTGTGCAGTGGAACGTTGTATTCGCTCGGCTTTAATAATGTATAAACCAATAGTTACCTTAAAACAAGGTAAAATACGTGGTGCTTCCGTTGAAGGTCTTCTAGGACCACCGTACGTTGCATTCCATGAGATACCATTCGCGGCACCACCTGTTGGAGAACTTAGATTTAAGGTAACATTTTTACTAAGTTTATTAGACGGATTGCAAACTTTAGGTTTTCGGTTTCGTAAGAGTTCGACGTTAGGAGTTGCTAAGTTAGAGTTATCCCTCTATAGGCTGAATTTTCTTTTTCTGTAAACAAGATGACAGACATTTACTTTGATATTTCACATTACAGAGTCATTATATAATTATTGTATTTTAACGTATTTTAATGAGAATTAAATTTATTTTTATTTGGAATACTTAGAAGCCTTATTTTCGTTTCCGTTTAGAATAATAGTATTCAAAACGTACATAAAAAGGGTATTTAGGTAATTTAATAAAAATAAGTCACAAGTTTAGAATCAATACAAACTAGAATAATATCTTCACTGTAGTCAATTGCGAGAATTATAAATTTGTATGTATATTCAGTTTTATTGGCAGTAGTTTAAAAGTTAGTTAGCTGTATTAATGCCAAGTATTCAATATAAATGATTATCATTAATTTGCAATTAGAATTTGGTTTAGATATTTAAAAGAAATCTTGCAGGATATTATTTGTTCGTAATTCAAATAATTCGAGGACTCTATTCTACACGAGTACCACTTTTCATCGAGAGCTGATGAAAGTCTAAAAATTTGCACTTGTTGCAATAGTTTTAAAGTCTAGAGTTAATCGAACAAAGTTACAAGACGTTATACATTTAAAATTATATGTTTATTCGTAGTTTTTAGATATTAAGCATATCTAATGTGTTAATTCTTCGTTGAATGCACCCTCAAAAATGTATCCATGAATACCACGAACATACGTAAATCAGACTCGTGTTAAAGTTATATGTGGTTTTTACGTTGAATTTTACAATGACAGTCGGCATTAAAGTAAAAAACGTTATTTTTATGCAAAGCTACAAAAAGGTTGTATAAATCTACATACTTTACACATTAGTATTGTATACAACGCGCAACCACATTTAGACATTTGTGGTGATATACATACTTATTGCAAAAGAAATGGTATCGTTCCATTAAAATACAATGTATCCATCCAACCAATATTTAGTTTTCCTATTTCTGTGAAGTAGACAACAACCTCTATTGTCTATTTAAAGAGACTTGTCCGAAGAATTGTCTTGCTCCTCCTGGTGTTCTTCTTTCTAGAAATATATTTCCTACATAACTTATTGATTGTTCTCTGAGTAACTAAAGTCGAAACTATTGAAAAAGTCGTACTGTCGGAATTTTTCGGCATATTATAATTAGATTACAGATTCACATAAAGAAATGAGATTTAAGGGGGCATTCACTGAGAACGCACAAAAAAAGCATATTTTTAATATTTTTTTTCTCAGGAACTATTCGCAGGAACTATTGCATAAAATCGAATGAATGTTTTTCCCCCTTAAAGATATGATTAAGGAAAGAAAATACAAAATTTTTTTTTTGTTAAAAATATTTCGCCATTTATTTACAAAATAATATGCATGTGTGCAAAAAAAAGTTATCCGCTGGCGCAGGTGATTTTGGCCCTCCTAGTAATCTGAAACAGAAAATCGAAAAAGTTTATTAAACTATGTCGTCACACCTATCGTCGGAACCTCCAAGTAGTTGATATTTTGATTTTTTCTTACAATTTCACCTGATTTACGGTACAAAAAAAGTGTTTTTTTTCTTCTCTCTTTCACAAGAAACGCTGCCATTTTGTTTATTTTCGATGAAATCAATAAGTGAAGGTTCCGACCATAGGTGTGACGACATAGTTTAATAAACTTTTTCGATTTTCTGTTTCAGATTACCAGAAGAGCCAAAATCACCTGCGCCAGCGGATAACTTTTTTTTTTGCACACATGCATATTATTTTGTAAATAAATGACGAAATATTTTTTATCGAAAAAAAAATTTGTATTTACTTTCCTTAATCATACCTTTAAGGGGGAAAAACATTCATTCAATTTTATGCAATAGTTCCTGAGAAAAAAATGATTGAAAATATGCTTTTTTTGTGCGGTCACAGTGAAATGCCCCCTTAAATGAAAGTTTGTATGTCTATCTTCTAAAAAGTGTAACATGTATTTTGTTGATGATGTTTTACAATTACTTATATTTATACACATCTTCATACATTTTCCCATACTATCTCTTTGTATAAATGGATGAACATCCGTAATCTAATAGTGACATAATTTATACTGGAGATTTATATTTTTATTTTGAACAAACCAGAAGCTTAAACATTTACTCGAATTTTTATTTGCCTATCTATATTGTATAGGGTGTCACAAAATTATATGTCACGGTCACTACAGCGTGATTGTACACCTACGATTTAGTGGAAATTGACATAAAATACTCCCCGCAAAATTGACCTCAAACTTAAAAATCATGATCAAGAAAACAAATTTTTTTTTTGTTTAATCGTGTTTTAGCGGTCATAACGATCAACTTTGTGAAAGAAACCATGGGTCCAATCTCAATCGTTACCTTAAAAAATGATGTTGTATTTCTTATCATTTTATCAGCTTCTTTATTTGTAAATAAGATAAGCCAGCAATAAGAGCAGCGTAACTACTTGGATAAAGTGCTTGCACAAGGCGAAGCATTTAGTTATATTTCCTAAATTAACGCATAACTCGCCGCTGTTTTGTCAATAGTATGCTATTTATATACATATTGGCGCTGGTGTAAAAATTTATAAATAAAGAAGCTGCAAAAATGATAAGAAATGCAACATCAGTTTTTAAAAGAACGGTTGAGATGCGACCCATGGTTTCTTTCACAAAGTTGATCGTTATGATCAGTAAAACACGATTAAACAAATAAAAAAAAATTTGTTTCTTTGACCTTGATTTTCAAGTTCATGATTTTCAATTTTGCGGGAAGTTTTTTATGTAAATTTCCACCAAATCGTAGGTGTAGGATCACGCTATAGTCGCCGTGACATATAATTTTGTGACACCCTGTACAGGCACGTGGATGTAAAGGAAAAAGTAATTAATTATATCGTGTCCGTTATACTTAAGGATTAAGTTCAATAAAATAAAACGAAGTCTCCGTATTATTTTAACGATATATGATGAAATATGAAATTCTCACTTTTACTAATGATTTACATTTCTTTCGAACAAATAGGATCCAGAACCACCTGTTCCATGGACAGGTATCAGAAACTGCACTACACCTAACGGAAAGTTCTGCACACAGACAGTAGATGCGTCGTCAGACTATATTTTCGGAAGCGAGGATTGCCTTTACCTGAATGTTTATACCAATTCTCTTAATCAATCAAAGCCAGTGATATTTTGGATTCATGGCGGTGGATTCCAACAAGGAACCGGAAGTTTCAAATTCATCAGACCTGATTATTTAATAACAAAAGATGTCGTCGTTGTTACAGTTAACTATAGACTGGGTCTATTCGGTTAGTTGGACTTTTATCTAGAATTTTATTGGGTTGTCTGGTAAGCAGGGACCATAACAGTTATAAGTGAAAAGAAAAAATAATTACGGAATAACAAGTATTTCATCAACTAAAATAGTATCGGTTACAAATAAGGATTATAAGTGACCAAACATTTTTATATTCTGTGTTGATTCTCTTGAATTTCAATAATAATCAATTTTTTATTAATGATTTTTATCATTGAAAATTTTAGAATAACTGTTATTTTTGGTCCCTGCTGGCAAGTCCATTTTGACTTCTGGTAGGTGGTACAGGTCTGAATATATCGGAACCATTGGAAACAAATAACATATATAAATCTCTTAATAGCACCGTCCAACACGATTTATTTTCCGCGATATACACTAGGTGATTCTTATAGGGTTCCTCGTCCTAAATACGAATCCGAAAGTGCAATTGCTCCATCACTCTTAGCTTTCGAGAAATACGAGATTTAGTAAAAACGGTTGATTTTAACAGAAAACGTAATACTACTTGAAAACTACGAACGCTAGAAAGTTTTATTTAGTCTTAAACGATAGAGGAATGTTTTCTAAATATAAAAACATATTCTTTTAGAATTATCTGCTCCTTTGAATGCCTGTAAACGAACACCGAAGTTCAAAAAGTTGGCGACGCGAGTACTTTTCACGAAATACGTTTGTATTTTTATGAAAAGTTATTCGTCTAGGTCGAATTTACTATGCATTATAGGTTTCTGCAAACATTTCTGAAGAGACAACCACCCGCGGTAAATGTTGGAACGGTTTATAATCCATCAGGTTTGACAAAACGTCAACTCGAAACGCATGAACAGTATTTTGCCGCTGCACAGCCATTGCACTACATTATACTACGTTATCGGATTTTGCAAACATTTCTGAGGAGAAAACCACCCGCGGCAAATGTTGGAACAGTTCCTAATCCATACGGTTTGACAAAACGTCAACTTGGAACGCATGAATGGCAAACAGAATTCGTGCGTTCTAAATTAATATTTTCTGGATCTGTACGAACTAGAAAACGTTCCAACATTTGCCGCGGGTGGTTTTCTTTTCAGAAATGTTTGCAGAAACCTATAATGCATAGTAAATTCGACCTAGACGAATAACTTTTCATAAAAATACAAACGTATTTCGTGAAAAGTACTCGCGTCGCCAACTTTTTGAACTTCGGTGTTCGTTTACAGGCATTCAAAGGAGCAGATAATTCTAAAAGAATATGTTTTTATATTTAGAAAACATTTCTCTATCGTTTAAGACTAAATAAAACTTTCTAGCGTTCGTAGTTTTCAAGTAGTATTACGTTTTCTCTCAAAATCGACCGTTTTTACAAAATCTCGTATTTCTCGAAAACTAAGGGTGATGGAGCAGTTTCACTTTCGGATTCGTATTTAGGACGAGGAACCCTATAAGAATCACCTAGTGGATATCGCGGAATTTAAAAAAAGTTGAAATTTGTTGGACTGTGTAGATGAAAAGGTTATGGAACAAAATGGTACTTCATGTCAAAGATGGGCAAAACCCTAGGCTTCGAGTAAATCTGAAGTTTGCCGATATGTTTGTCTCGTTTCCTTCTTTGGATAATTTTCAAAAGAGGAAACGAGACAAACATATCAGCAAACTTCAGATTTATTCGAAGCCTAGGGTTTTGCCCATCTTACCCTTCATGTAATGTAATTCAATGAATATACAGGGTGTCTACAATTATGTCCGGACAAACTCAGGGAATCAATTCTACAACTAATTTCCAACAATATATTTCTCTTAGACATTTTTCTAAATACGACTTATTTTAGGAGTGTTTTCACTTTCAATTTTTTTTTTCAGTTCTCGTCTTTACACTGTTTAACTGCTCAGAACTCCATCAACTTACACACCAAAATTATGATTATTACTCTATTATCATATTATTTCATTGTATTATTTTATGATTAGTGTACGTACCGACTATTCTCTTGCAAACTTTATGCAGTGTACACGCATCTTGACTTTTACTTGCCTGAACATTCACACACTATCTCGAACCGAATCGTAATATTTATTGAAATTTTGAAGGTTTCCTAAACCTGGGACACCGAGTCGCTCCCGGAAACCAGGGTATGAAGGACGTAATTGCAGCGTTGGAGTGGGTCAAGGAGAATATTGCCAAATTCGGAGGAGATCCGAACAATGTCACGATCGCTGGACAAAGCGCTGGCTCAGTAATAGCTCATGCGTTAACATTGTCGCCGAGAGCGAAAGGTACATTTATGGTGTCTTCCCTGTCTTTAGAAATTTAGTAAACGTCTTTTTATAATAGCAATTTTTACAAAGTTTCAAAACTTACCTTTCCTGCTCAGGACTCTTCCACAAAGCGATCTTACAAAGTGGATTGTTGACATGCAAGTGGGGTCTTGGCCAGAGTCTTCCAGAACGTGGTTTTAAATTTGCATCCCTCCTTGGAATAAACTCTACCGACCCTGAAGAAATTGTTGAAAAACTACGCAAGATATCCGATAAAGATATTGTCAAGGCTTATGAACATTTTGAGTTCAACAAAGAGGCAAGATCTTTTTTACAGTGTCACATGAACAAACTGCGGGTGTCTATGCAATTTCATATTTTTAACCGACATAAAAAGGAAAAGAGGTTACCAATACGATGAAGAATGGAAAAAGTTTTCTCGAGTAACTAACTAGTAGAATATGAAAAACTTTCTAAATGAAATATAACCAACTTGAAAAAAAAGCAGTGAAAAGAATTAAATAATTTTTGTAAATTCTCTGATGACAAAATGTGTTGTCCAATAACTACAAATCCAACATTGTACTACAATTAAGTTATTATCGTAATTATTCAATTACTGTTTATAGTGGGTGCCAAACTACTTTATTAACGATAATTACTAAAACGGGCTACACCTTCTGCTATGTATAGAATACTTGACAAATTATGCGATACAAAGGATTCAGAAAAAATTTTTCTTTGTTAGGTGTTGTTCGGTATCAATTGATTTTAATAAATGCACTAATAAGATAATTGAAGTGTAATATGTGTCGTTCATTGCACAAATCGATTAACTTTATAATACAAAAAGTTGAGAAATGTGATGAAATAATGTGCAAATAGGAATAATAATAATAAAAAATAATAATAATAGGATGTGATAATGAATATATAAAAAGTTATGACTATATCAAGTGCTTTGACACTTAAATTTAAGATTTTTCAAAAATCGGAGTTAATATATTTGTGGAGTGAACAATTCATATAGGATTAGTAGGTACTGGATAACATGTTGTTGTTAGAGAATTTAAAAGAGTTAATTTTGTTGAGAGCTACTTTCGAAATTTACAGAAAAGTATGTCTTACCTTCTAAACAAAGTAAAATGTACATTATTGTTGATATTTGATATATTTTTGCATTCACATGTATCCCGATACATTTTTTCATATTTCCACTTGCTACGAATACATAATCACCCGAGTCTACGCTTGACGATTGTAAAATTATGTTCTTACATAACACAAATTCAGATTCTTATTATCTTTTTTTTTGCAGCATTACTATCTCTATAGAATGAAATTTGGATTGAATTACGATGACGTAGCAGAAAATCCTGTCTTACCATTACCAATTGAACAATTGAGTTCAAACGATGTCGACATACCTGTTCTGGCTGGATACTTATCAGGCGACAGCCTTATGTTTTTTAATGGTAATTTTTATCTAAAGCAATATTCTAGCTTGTTGATCAAGCATTCAAATAACTTCATCTCGTTACAGACATAAGCCAGAATGCGTTGGACAATTACAATATGTATATACCCGACTATGTGAAAGTCATGGGGGATGTTGCAAATTTAGGACCTAAAGAACAAGGAGAATTATTGAAGTTTGTCGAGAACCAATTTTTTAACGGGCAACCAGTTACTGCTGACAATATGGACAAGTTTATACGTTTCGTATCAAGCATTTATTTCACAGTTCCCTATAAAATATACACTGAAGGTCGTGTGAACAGGGCATTGAAGCCTACTTACCTTTACAGGTTTTCATATCTCGGTAACGAACCGACATTCGCAGATCTTATGATGAAACGAATTCTTAAAGGTAATATCATGTTACGGTATATGTAATTATTATTGTTCAATGAAACGATATACAAAATGGAGCAGCTAACCAGCTATCGAACAATAATGCCCAAACTATCGTCGATACAAACAAATCTTTTAGGATAAAGTTAAAGGGTTCGAGGGGATCCATCTAATGCTGCTCCACTCTGTACATTGTGACATTAGAATACAAATCTAATATTTAAAAATACATTTAGTGGCAACTCATATGGACGAATTGGCATACTTATTGTACTCGCCTCCTTGCAAATCTAAAAACCTTGACCCACCAGCGATTGGTACGAAGGATAGAAGTCTAATTGAATTTCTATGTACGACGTGGTCCAACTTCGCTAGGACGGGGTAATTCGTCTGTGAATTTTTAGATACTTCACGATTCATTTCAATGCCGATGTTATCGATATTTTGTTAAGACTATATATTCCATGTATCCATTGTTTTCAATGTAGGAATCCTACTCCATGTCACGATGATGTCGTCAAGATCACTTGGGAACCGATGACGAAGGAGAATCGTTGCTATTTAGAAATTGGCGATTCTATTGATATGTTACCCATGACGACGGATTTAATTAACTTAATCTGAGTTCTCGCAGTCGATTTACAATGAAATTTGTTATTAAGAAAATGGAATTATGCGAAACTTGCATTAAATAATAATGTATCCCCGACAGATATTTATTTACTATCTATTCGATCGTTATTTTACATTTTACAGTATTAGTATACGACGGTTCTCTTACAATACAGGACAACGAAAAATTACAAATTAGCTTAATACATACCGATAAAAAACTTCAAAAAAGTAAAAAAGTTACGCCAAGTACATGAAAAAGTGGAGGACTCAAGGAGTTATCATTGAAAAATAGAAGATCCCTATAAAAAAAACTACAAAAAGTAGAAAAAGATGTGAAATCGAAATGAGCTGCCAGATGATTTGCCTAGATTTCCGCGGCCTGGAAGTCAAATGCTTGGCGTGGCCAGCCAAGACATTCTTAGATCATCAATACCCATACTTTCTCTCTCACAGACTTTCAGAAAATTTGTCAATTTAAAACTCTGACAATATTATGAGTACACTTTCATTGTATTGCGATTTAAAATATTTCTAAGGTCATTCATCAACGCCAATACCTTTTTCTCTCGCAAGCTTTCAGATAATTTGTCAGTTTAAAACTCTGACAATATGAGTACACTTTCATTATTTTGCGTTTTTGCTCATTTCGATTTCACATCTTTTTCTACTCTTGTAGTTTTTTTTTTATAGGGATCTTCTATTTTTCAATGATAACTCCTTGAGTCCTTCACTTTTTCATGTACTAGGCGTAATTTTTTTACTTTTTTGAAGTTTTTTATAGGATTTCACTTCTTTTTACAAATTATTTATTATATAGAATCTATTTTAAATTCATAAAAATAAAATTGATATTTCTGTAAACTCTACATAAGAAGTCTAAATTATTATTTGTTTTTTTAATTGAATAGAGTAAAATAGAGGGAGACGGGATAACAAAAGCGAATATATATATACACTGACGGACAAAATTAAAGGGACACTTTTGTAAAACGTCATATCTATGGAAGTTTTCAACCGGTTTTTGGAGAAACTTCGCGAGGAGTAGTTTTGAAGTGTCCTCTAAATGTGCGCAAAGTTGCATTGGCTAGGGTTGACAGGAGGGGGTTAAGTCACCCCCGTAAAGAGGGGCACGTCGAATAACGCCACTTCTGAAGAGGCCAGGGGTGACGGAAGGGGTTGAAAAAATCAAAAAAAAATTTGGGGCGACCCTCCTCGATGCCCTCAACAAAATGCACCCCTCAAAATCCCTCTCGGGCAAACCAACCCCTCACAACACCCCACCCCCTCCAAAATCCACAATTTTTGGACTTCAGTCCCGAATTTGGGCTCAATGCATTCCCTGGAATCTCCTGATCCAGGAAATGCCAACGCCCACGCCGTGCGCCCCATAGGCACCCCTTCGAAGGATGGAACAGTTCGCCACTTTTCAACACCCTTCGTAAGGGAGCACTTCCACACTTCGAAAGGCGATGAAATTCACCATGTTTATTCTCGGTACGTTAAGGATCGATGTTATTTAAAGCTCATTTCGAAAACTGCCCCTGGAGCTGAACAGGGTGGCCCAGAGTTAGGGGTGGTTCACCCACAGGTGTAGGAGTTGGAACGATGTTTCGTTGCGTGGAACACATGTGATGCGGTCCAAGGCATTGGAGTGACACAGTTTTGATGTCTTTTCCCCGCGTGGATAGCATTAAAATACGAAAATGACGTTTTTTTTGGAAAACCCACCCGCGAGTTTGAGCCTGTGTACCAGGTGAATGAGTAACCCCACGTCAACGCCGTTCATGGAATCGGACGCGGGAATGCTTTATTAACAGGTCCTCAAAAATTCGGATATTTTCAAATCGGAAATTATAATTCAAATTTTGTGAAATCGGAGTAGATTTGAAAGAGTATTAAGTGGGCCGGACGGAGCCGGCATGCAAAAGTGGAGCGAGGGCCTGCAGCCGTACGTGGTCAATCCACATTAAATTGGAATCCGGTCTGGTCTGACCACGTACGGCTTCTTTCAACCCATTCCGTCACCCCTGGCCTCTTCAGAAGTGGCGTTTTTCGACGTGCCCCTCTTTACGGGGGCGACTTAACCCCCTCCTGTCAACCCTAACCAATGCAACTTTGCGCACATTTAGAGGACACTTCAAAACTACTCCTCGCGAAGTTTCTCCAAAAACCGGTTGAAAACTTCCATAGACATGACGTTTTACAAAAGTGTCCCTTTAATTTTGTCCGTCAGTGTATATGTATATATTGGGCTGTCTGGAAAGTCCATGTCGATTTTTAGTAGGCGGTACAGGTCTGAATATATCGGAATTGCTGAGAACATAAAATGTGTACATTCCTTAACAGGATGGAAAGGTTGTGAAACAAAATGGTAGATATATAATTCCATAAATATACATCAAAATTCAAATATGCCCTTGAATTTTTCTTAAAAATAGGCACGAACTTTCCGGACAACCTAATATTTCATATAATTTATTAATTTTAAACACTTATTCGTTCAATTTGTAAATAATTATATATACCTGCAATTTTTTTTTTACTGCAAGAAATTTTAATGTTAATGATGAAATGAGAAAATGACTCTATTTCTATAAGCTCTACATAAAAAGTCTAAATTAAAAACACTATAGTGGTATGGATCTATTCTGTATGAATAAAGGTACTTGACAATTCAGATTTTGACCACTTACCTTGTAATCAAAATTGATCTACATTTTACTTTACTTGCAGCAATTTGTTAATCTCCAATGCTGTAGGCCCCCTCCATTTCCACAAGATCTACATGAAAAGCTTAAATTCAAAACACTTCGGTGGTATGCATCTACATTAAGAACAGTTTTCTGCATGAATAAAGCTATCTCGCAATTCAGATTTTGACAACTTACCTTGTAGTCAAGATCGATCAACACTTTACAACACTGGCTGCAATTTGTTATTCAACCCTACATAAAGAGTCTAAATTGAAAACATTTTGCTGATATAAATATAATTAATAATGCAATAGTGTAAAAACTGTTGACACTTGGCAGGTTATGAATGATGATATCTGTTTCGACTTTCGACGCTCGATGGCCGACGAGCCATGCCGAATCGAATGATTCCGAGAGTCGACGAACGACACTCGGCTTTTGCTTAGCTCCTATTGGCTAAGGGTTGACGACGGGAAAATAATACGAAAAATACCGTTTCTGGGAGATTCATGACATGATATTACGATATCTGAGTTGTACGTGGACCGATTTTATTGATTTTGATTTTATTCGAAAGCTTATATGCTTTCAGGTTTCAGGTTAGGTTGGAATGGACCATCTCTCCTGTAAAAGATACGTGGTAGCTCGAACGCCAGGTATATATACGCGGTGACGGCTAATTTTTCATGTGCTTGGCGCCGAGACGCTACCACGTCTCTAGATCATGCGAGTGCATTTGTGCACGAGTCCTGGAACGTGACATTTTTCAAGGCGAGAGGCAGAGTATAAATCTACCGTCATAAGCGTAGAATGTTATAGCAGACACCTCTATTTAAAATAAAACGAATAGTTAAGTTTCTATCAGTGTATCCTTATATTGTTTTACCAAAATCATTAACCGGCTTTGAAAAGGAGAAGGTTACTCAATTCGACATATATATTGTTACGTATACAGAAACTCGCTGTTTGTTTCCGAAGCTCACGGTCATCAATTTTATTTTATCTACCCTCCTGGAATTTGGAGCTCGGTCTCCCTGGAGTGCATCCTGCAGCTGCATACTCTTAACATCATCTTCGACTTGCGTTGCGTGGGAAGACTTCTTATCTACCCTTTCCCAGGGAACGCAGCTGCTCACCTAACCGTCAGATTTCCAAATATGGAAATCACCGACGGATCCCCACCAACATTTAGGGGTATATAAACACACGATTTTCGTTGCTCGGGGGCTAGTACGAAAAAGTTACTCGTTAGAGACACATTGATTGTCTGTAGAGTAGTACTCTAGTGAGATCGGGCTTCAGTTCCTTTCGATCATCGTTACCATATAGATCCGCGAAGACGGTTTTAAAATCTATTACGGCCATAAAAGTACTCTCGACCCCCGCATCGCTAGTGCGTCAACACCGCGCAACGCTTAGGTAATTTTAACTTCATACACTAACCGCGACAACACGACACTGGACACTTGTAATTAGTATAGTTATTTTTGAATATATACTCTTTGTGTAAACTTAAAAGTCTGTAAGATCAATCATCAAACCTTTACTTTGAAATCACCAATCCTAGCCAGTGTAACGATCCCACAACACAATAACTTTACCGCTCGAGTTATTATTCTATTAAATTAACAAGTTGCGAGGCTTTATTTACAACGCGTGTTACATTTTAACGATACGATTTAGTCATTGTGTACTCAACCCGAACTCCTAAACTTAACCTATCCTGCGGTTACCCTTTACTGGGAGATACCGATTCCTGCCGATTCCTCTGACTTCGCGTCAGAGTCGTCTGCACTTTTTCTAACAACCTCACAGTTCGAACTTTACCCTACGGTTACCCTTTACTGGGAGATACCAATTCCTAGCAGCTACCTGACTTCGCGTCAGAGGCGTCTGCGTTTGTCTCCAATAACCAAGACAATCGAACACCTTAACCTACGGTTACCCTTCACTGGGAGATACCGATTCCTGCAACTATCTGACTTCGCGTCAGAGTCGTCTGCATTGTCTAATCTATCCTCAACCTTCGGCACCATTGATACACAATAATTAATAGTATTGGTCCAATTCTCAAATCTATCCCACTCGCTGGGCTCACACGCGCGTCGCTATCGCCCTGGCTCGTAACAACATATATATATATATTTTTTTTTAATGTATATTTCTCGATTACGCCGATATGGCTTGACCAATCGAAATGAAACCTGTTGCATCTTGTAGAGCAAGTCTCCGGAGTGGTCCCATTATCAAAAAATTTTGGGATTTCTCATTTTTTACCCGTTTTTATTTTTACAAAAAACCGAAAAATTTTGTATTGCTTCTTATTCCGAAACGAATTAACCAATCGGATTGAATCTTCTTGCATCTGGTAGGGCTCTATTGCCTCTTAAAAGCTTTAAAAGACATTTGACCTACTCCCATTTTTTACCACATTATTTACCACTTTTTATCGCAAAATTGTACTATTTCACGTATGTTCGTGAAATAACGTTTCATCGGACATGCGCGGCACGCGACTCGGCGACGTTTCGACCCCTACGCCTGAGGGTGGACCACCCCTAACTTTGGGCCCACTCCTGTTCAGCTCCAGGGGTAGTTTTTGAAACGGGACCTTTTCGGTATTGATCTTTAGTATACCGACAACAAACCTGGTGAATTTCATCACCCTCTGATGTGTGGAAGTGCCCTTTCACGGGGGAGGGGGGGGTTGAAAAGTAATGACCTATTCCGCCCCCCCTCCACCCAAGGTGTGCCTATCAGGGGATTCCAGAAAATGCATTGAGCCCAAATTCGAGTCTGTAGTCCAAAAATTGTGGATTTCGGAGAAGGTGGGGGTTTGTGAGGGGTGGGTTTGTCCGAGAGGGATTCCAAGGGGTGCATTTTGTAGAGGGCATCAAGGAGAGTCACCCAAAAGGTTTTTTTGATTTTTTCACCCTCTTCCGTCACCCCTGGACCCTTTCGAAATGCCGTTTTTTTGCACTACCCCATTTAGGGGGATGAATTAACCCCCTTTCATCAACCCTCGTCAATGCAACTTTGCAAACACCCAGAGGACACTTCAAAACCAAGCCTCACGAAGTTTCTCGAAGATCGGTTGAAAACTCTTATATTTATGACGTTTTGAAAAAGTGTCTCGAATGTTTTGACGTTCAGTGTAGATTGCCATTAAAAAGAGTGAAATAAAATAATTTTTGGAAAAAAAATATAACCGACTTTGAAAAAATATTAAAATTGCACTAAAAAGTATGAAATAATTTCTATTTCATTTATATTAAATGATATTCAATAATGTATTAAATTTCTATGTCGTTTATATTAAATTATGTTAAATAACCCTTTCGTAGACGGCGCAAAATAAAAAATTTTTAATTCCTGCTTAAGTTAGGTTTTGGTGAAGGCGGTAATGTTGAATGCTATTAATGTATACATGTATGTACTTCGCTACTGCTCGCGAGGAATGTGCATATGCAATAGTTTTTTTGCGTAATAACTATAAATTGGAATACATATATTCTATCGTTTCTATCGCGTACGAATACTCCAGATATAGGAATCTTTTATTAAGATATTAGGTATTTGCAAAAGTTTCCATCGTTTGAAATATGTGACCGGTCAAAGATTAATATTGCAGAAAGATCAAGCATTATCACGTAAAGAGTTTGTGATAATTTTTTTCATGTTAATCCGTGTAACTTAATTTGACGATTAGATTAAATTATGAAGATGTTTGAGTAGTAGGGAACGAAGGATAGTGGAGTATCTCATGAGATGTTCGAGAAAGTCGTAAATGTTTGAGAAGTATTGAATAGATTTGTCGCCAATGATGAATAATGGATTTATTCCGACACTCCACGACGTGAAAGTTATAGTGCATTTTTCATATTAACTATAGTCGCAGTGACAAGTGCAGACAGGACAGGTGGTGATCTTAAGCAGATATATAATCTTAATGAAATGAAGATAAGATAATATATGGTTAAGATAAGCTCGCGTTAATAGGACACATTATTTAAACCACAAATTTTACGCAGAGTGCGGTGAAGTGGTGTGTCGGCAAGGCATTAATAATGTACAAACCTATTGTTACTCTCAAGCAAGGTAAAGCACGCGGTGCTTCCGTCCAAGGTGTTCTAGGATCATCTTATATTGCATTTCACGAGATACCTTTCGCGGCTCCCCCCGTTGGAGAACTCAGATTCAAGGTAGTAAATATACTAAATATACTATATAGATCGGGGGTTGGCAAATTATAGTTTTAGCGCAACCACACAATTTTACGGTCACCCACATTTTTAGATACAAGTTCGCCGCTTCTGAATCAAATCGTTTGCAATTTTTAATGAAATTACAACAACCCCACAATTTTACGGTCGTCTACATTTTTAAACACAAGTTCGCCGCTTTTGAATAAAATCTTTTGCAAATTTTAGTGAAATTAGCGCATACTGACACATTAATCACGAAATTTCAAAAGAATCCGTTAAGTTTTGCAAGACTTGGATATATTTTTCACGTCGTCAAATGCATACTATTTAGTCAAAAACATATTTTGTATAAAAAAACATCTAAATGCTTCACAATAGGATAATAATTAGTAAAATCTCCATTATTTTTAACACATTTTTCATTCGTTTCGGCATTGAATTACATAACTTCTTCGGGGTGTTATGGTCGATATCATTCCAAAAGACTTGGATTCAGCTTCAAATTTTCTGTTGCCGAATAATGATGACCATTCTTATAAATTGTTCAATAATATATTTGAACAAAATGTTTCAATTAACAGAATGGTAATGAGCACGAGTGGTATTAAGACGATAAATATGAAATTATATTATTCACACTATTTCGGGATTATCTTATGATATGTCTGCCCTCTTCGCCCGCTTAAGAGATAACGCCACTATATCAATTTGGTAATATCAATTTCTTTTTTTTATTTTAAATGATACGTTCGGGTCTTTGAAATAAGATACACTCAGTTTTACAGCCTGGTAAAATGTTTAAGACATTGTCATATGAACAAAACAATAGCACTTTGTAGCGCGCCCCGAGTATATGCGACGACTCAGGCATCGGATGAAAGGGTAGTAGTGGATTTTCTTATAAAATAAAGCCCGTTTATAAAATAAAGAGTATGAAATTCATTGTCGAAATATTCGTGTCAGTCGTTTATTAGGAATCGGTTTAAATTTTAAATGCAATGAATATTTTATAGAAAGTTCTTTTCACGACTTCCGGGGGAATTGAAGTCGTTCGTAAAAGCAGCATAAAGACGGCAACAAAACAATAGAAGTTTAAGTCTCTTAAAAATAATCAATGAGTATTAAATTGTAGATATTGCGAGAATATATGGTTCAGATCTTATTTCTCACCACCGCAATTGCTTATACGTCGTTTACAATACCGATACGTGAAAGGGGGGCGTGTGCGATTATAGCTGTTCGATCTGCAACGATTTATTGTAATGATAACTTTTCACTCGAAACACGTACCAAACGTATAAAATATTGATTTTCACTGATGATTTACATTTCTTTCGAACAAATAGGATCCAGAACCACCTGTTCCATGGACTGGTATCAGAAATTGTACTACAGCTATTGGAAAGTTCTGCGCACAGGCTGAAGATGCTACGCCAGACTATGTTTTCGGGAGCGAAGATTGTCTTTACCTGAATGTTTATACCAATTCTCTTAATCAATCAAAACCAGTGATATTTTGGATTCATGGTGGTTCGTTCAAATCAGGAGCCGGAAGTTTCAAGATTATAAGGCCTGATTACTTAATAACAAAAGACGTCGTCGTTGTTACAGTTACATATAGGCTGGGTGCATTCGGTTAGCTGGACTTCCATTTAGAATTTTAGAATTTTATAAGGATAACTACGTACAAAGTTTCATCACTAGGATGCGGATATAATTAATTATAAAGTTCAAACTTGCACAATATTCAAACTTGCACAAACAGACCTATTTATGATTATTACTCTATTATCATATAATTTCATTATATTATTTTATGATTAGTGTACGTATCGGCTATTCTCTTGCGAACTTTGCGTACTATCCGTAAAATGCATACCTTACGTGCATGGAATGCATACGCATCTTGACTCTTACTTGCATGAACATTCACACACTATCTCGAACCGAATCGTAATATTTATTGAAATTTTGAAGGTTTCCTAAACCTGGGACACCGAGTCGCTCCCGGAAACCAGGGCTTAAAGGACCTAATTGCAGCGTTGAAGTGGGTCAAAGAGAATATTGCCAAATTCGGAGGAGATCCAAACAATGTCACGATCGCTGGACAAAGTGCAGGCGGAGTGCTAGTCCATGCTTTAACGGTGTCACCGAGAGCGAAAGGTATATTTATGACTTCTTACCTATCTTTAGATGATTAGTCTTTCTACTAATTGTCAGAATATGATTAACGCGTTGACCGCCACTCATATATGAGTGACAAGGATTTTTATCGAGGAATAAATTAACTCTGAAAACGAGGTGTCGAAGATAATTAATTTGAATAGGATTGATATGTTCTAAAGTGGTCGCAAAAGCAACAACCACCACAGATGTTAGATTACGTCATTTAAAATTGTATAGAAATAACACTTATGCTCGTGGGAATCTATTCGAATCGGGTACCTATCCGATAAAAGTTACACTCATCTTTTCTGTTCAGGACTCTTCCACAAAGCGATCATGCAAAGTGGATTATTGACATGTAGCTGGGGTTTCGGGCAAAGTCATCCAGAACGTGGTTTCAAACTTGCGGCCGCTCTTGGAATAAACTCTAACGACCCCGAGGAAATTGTTAAAGAAATGCGCAAGCTGTCCGATAAAGATATCGTCTTGGGTTATCAGAGTATACTCACAAAACACGTAGGAAGCATTTTTTACAATGTCTCGTGGCATTCATGAAAATTGTAACGCACTGGAAACGTAAATTCTTCTGATATTTTTGCAGGAGAGTCAAATCTACGAAATGGCGTTTGGAGTGAATTACGATGATATAGCGGAAAACCCAGTTTTACCCTTGCACATTGACGAATTAAGTTCAAACGACGCCAGTATTCCTGTCTTGACTGGATACCTCTCATATGATTGTATCATGTTTTTCAATGGTAATTTCTTTTTGAAACAAGATTCTGGCGTATCGGCCACATTTACATGATTATTATATATCTCGATATAGATAACGGAAAGGAAGCAGTGGATAATTACAATCGTTATCTACCTGACTACGTGAAAATCTTAGGGAGACATAAACATTTAGGCTCCGCGGAACTAGAAGAATTAATGGAGTTTGTCAAGGATCATTATTTTAACGGACAGCCAATTAGTAGTAACATGATGGAGCAGTTCCTACGTTTCGTAACCGATATTTATTTTACCGTTCCCATGAGGAAGTACATCGAGGATCGCGTGAAAAGGACATCCGCGCCTACGTACTTGTACAAGTTTTCGTACGTCGGAAACGAAATGACATTCACAGATCTTTCAAAGAAACGTGTTGTAAGAGGTAATATTGTGTTATCGTTTGTCTAATTACATATTATGATATTAGAACGAAGGTGTTACGTTTAAAATAATGTTTAGGATCATCTCATATGGACGAATTAGCATACATATTGTACTCGCCTCTTTGCAAAATTAAGAGCCTCGAACCACCACCGGTTGGTACGAAGGATAGAGACCTGATTGAATTTTTGTGTACGACGTGGTCCAATTTCGCTAGGACAGGGTAAGTCGTTCGTGGAACTTCAGATACTCCATGATTCGTTTCAATGTCGATGTTTTAAATATTTTTTGAAATTTAATGGAACCATTATTTTCAATGTAGGCATTGTACTCCATGTCAGGACGGTGTTATCAAGACCACTTGGAATCCTGTGACGAAGGAGGAACGTTGTTATTTAGAAATTGGTGAACGTATCGAGTTGCTACCCTATAAACCTGATGCGTTTAATTCAATTTACACTCTCTTAGACGATTTATAATACAACAAAACGTCGTATTAAGAATAAGTATTTATGCGAAACCCATAAAATTATAATGCATCATCTTTGAATACACATTTTTTATTTGTTTAAACATTTGTATACAATTAGCAATAAGAATGAAAAACCATATCATGTCATTTTTATGTTTAAAACATATTTAGTTATTTATCCCGTTAATGGCTGTACTTGTGTCAATAAAAACTTTGTTCCTATAAACCGCATGATCAAAATTATCTATAATAATATTGACTCGCGTCCATGATATTTCTAACGCAATCAAAGCGAAGATGGCAATTTAAATTATCACACTTAATATAGTAATGGACTTTATGAGTATATAATTAGTCTTTATCAGATCATTATCTTAAATCATTCACGAGATTTGAAGAAAGCTGCAGACCGCTACTATCATTGTAATTTATCATTGTAATTTGGTTAAGTACCAAAGGTTACTGTACATAATCGGTTTATATCATGGAAAGTTTTCGTTGGAAAAATATCGATTTAAAGATGTTATTAATTTTGACTACCAAATATCAATTTCCAGATACCGGTGTCTCAAAGACTTCACATATTTCTTATTATACTATTTTGAAAATATACCCGTTTTTAATCGTGATTCGTAATTCACAAGTTGTTTGAAACAAAACTGATATCTTAAGAAAATTATGAAGTTGCATAAATATTCGCGGTTAGCGGCGAACAATATCTTCAGATCGATATCTTTATCAAAGTCTAATATCCATCTGAGTTTCAAACAACAGGAAATTACAGGTTCTAATCGTAGCTGATACTACGATAGAATCGGCGGTTTACCTGTCGCGTGAAGCAGGAAACGTTCATGACCGTATTCAGATTTTTACGGTAGAAACTGTAAACACACGCTATCATACTTCAATATGAAGGTTTCGAGAGGTCAATCAAACTACTTAAGTAGATTTCTGTTTCTAACGCCTCGTTTACATACATTATTGGTGCAACGGTATAAATATGCATCTTATATCGTAATTCGCATATTCGCGATTAAAAGTTCGAATAACGCGGATCGTCCTCGGAGCACTCTTTTGCAGATATTTTGTCTTGTGCATTAACGTATTCGTATCGGAACGTTTATAGGTAAAATTAGGATACGTTCGCGATAGGGGATAAACAATCTCTGTGCGAGATACAGTCAAGTCTGGTTAAGTTACCACTGATTTAGTTAACAATGGATAAACCGATAGTTACTGTAAAACCAGGTAGAGTACAAGGTATAGGCGTCGAAAGTGTCCTAGGTTCTTTTTACATCGCTTTTTATGAGATACCTTACGGGATTCCGCCCATCGGAGAACGCAGATTTAAGGTAATCGATTTACTAGATCTATTAGATTAAGGCGTCTGGCCACCCTGAGCGCTCGCCAGATGGGTACTATTCTTAAAAAAAAATTAATTAAAAAATTAATCAAGTAATCGCAAAAATCCATTGCTATTCTTCAGATAATATATCTAAAAGTAGCGTGTACATACCTCAGAGCAATCGGACCGCATGTTTACTTTCTTTTGGGATTATCTCGAAACTACATTTTTCGAAATAGTACAACGTAAATTTCGTAAACTATAGGTCCGATTGCTCTGAAATTTGTACACACTACTTTTAGATACATTTTATGAAGAGTAGCAATGGATTTTTGCAATTACTTGATTAGTTTTTTTTTTTTTTATTGACGATTTTTCTCGTGAAATTTCGGTGGAAAATAAAAAAAAATTTCTTCGACTCACCATAATTTTCTAAATGGTAAAAAATAAATCCAATTGCTACTCTCTTGCGATAAACTCCAGAAACAATCTAATATTTTTTTTTTCTTTTTCACATGCAACCTAAAGAATATAATGATGGGACAACCACGCGCGTTTCGTGCCGAAGTGCTTCACCAAAATTTTCGAAACGACGCCATTTTTTTTTGTTATCTCAAAAATTTTTTCATGTGTTCATGAAACCGTTCTTTAGTATCTGTCAAAACATAAAAATATTTTTTTCTATACTTTCGCATTTATGAATTTTTTAAGAATAGTACCAATCTGGCGAGCGCTCAGGGTGGCCAGACGCCTTAACTTAGATTCATCCTAGCAGATTATATTCGGATTACTGTCGTTTAGAATATTCTCAGGCGGTTCAGGAAAATGTATAGTGTTGATCTACCTCTGTTAAATAAAGGCTTTTTCAGAAGTGGGCGTTGAGATCCTCTTTTTAATAACAAACTACTTTCTCCTGTTTAAGCGTACCTTCATTTCAAATAAAAGGATAGAATGTATTCCAATCATTCGTGTTTTATTAAAAAAACAATATCCTAAAGGTCGCTTTGGAAAACCCTTTAGTTTAAGAAGTTACATACCATCTCAACTTTCAATGAATTGTTTATTCTTCTGATTGAAAATCATTCTTTATAATATGGAGAATAAAGCTCGTGGGAACCTAATTAGATTGCCTTTTCCATTCTGCCCATAAAACGGGTTTAATGGTGGAAACACCCCTTCGAAATAATTCTGGTTATTTATTCTAGTATCTTTGAAACCATTCGAGATACCGAACAAATTTTATATATATAATGTAGTTGTTGTTAACAGGGTTCTTGACCGTCGATTTTGGTCAAAATCTAAAATTGTCTATAAAAATTATTTTTCACTTCCTCTGTCAAAATTAATATTTCGGCGAATAACATATAGCAGCAATTTCCATTATCTTTAAGGAAAAAATTACTAAAGGAAAAATATTTGTTTCTCGAAAAAAATATATTTGATAACAATTTCATATCTTATGGAGATGTACAGCTTTTGTTTGATATATTTTTTTTAAGGTTCACTTATTTCAAACCATATTTCTAATCGACACAGTATTCATTTTCATTGAGGATTTATATTTTTGTTTGGAACATAGGATCCAGAGCTACCACTTTTGTGGATGGGTATTAAAGATTGTACAGTACCCACCGGAAAAATATGTATTCAAGCAGGGGAATCACCACCCTACAAAGTAATTGGAAGCGAGGATTGTCTTTACCTCAACGTTTACACCAAATCCGTGAGTCAATCGAAGCCAGTTATGTTTTGGATCCACGGGAACGGTTTCACGTCGGGGAACGCTGGTTTCGATACCGCGAGGCCTGATTACTTGCTCGAGAAAGATGTCGTTGTTGTTACAGCTAATTACAGACTGGGTGCATTCGGTTAGCTATACTTTCCTTTCGAACTCAATTACTTTGCAATTATTGATACGAACAATTTCTTTTGGAAAATTATAAAAAGATATCGGCTAAGAGATTGAATGATCCTTACACAGCGATACAGAGAAATAGTAATGAAATTTTTAACTTCTTAGGCATGATGAAGCCCTGTCTTTGGTAATTAACTGAGTTATAAGTATGAGTTATAAATGATTATAAAAGAGATAGAGTAAAAAATATAATTATGTGATTAATGGCAATGGTCATGATATTCATAATCATTTTACTTTCTGAGGTCTCTGAAGTGTCGATAGAAACGATTGTGTAAATCTATTCCACATTGATCGAAAAAATGTTTTGATATTAATGTTTTTATTCTATAATATTAAGCACTGACTTACTCCAGTGTATTGTAAAGAAATCTTTCTGGAATACTGTGTAGCATAAATTGCATAGTTTTATAAAATCTTATTGATTTAAAGAACACTTTTATTTAATATTTATTTCTAAGGACAACAAGTTAAGCATTAACTCACTTACTGCATAATATTACAAACAAATCTTACTAGTGATCTTTACCAAGGATGATCTTTACCACGAACCAGAAACGTTGAAAGTTTACTTATTATTTGCCTGTATCGCTCTATATGTTACTTAAAATTCGTCCACCTGTTTCTCAATAACATTATAAAATATTTGATCACCTTTATCGCATAATTAACACCGAATCGTAATATTTATTGAAATTTTGAAGGTTTCTTAAATCTTGATCATCGAGCTGCGCCTGGGAACATCGGCCTGAAAGACTTAATCGCAGCTTTGCAGTGGGTCAAGGACAATATTGCGAATTTCGGAGGGGATCCAAAAAACGTCACGATTTTTGGTCAAAACACAGGAGGAGTATTAGCTCATGCCTTAACTTTGTCGCCGAAAGCGGAAGGTATACCTATCATTTCTTACCTATTATTAGAACTTAATAATTCTTTAATCAACCGTAATCATTCCAAAGAATTCCGAACTTCTTAAAATGACCCGTCCAATAACTAACAAAATTTCTTCTAATCTTCAAGGTACAAGCATCATGTAAAAATAAAAGTCAGAACTTGCGTCCATTCCCTTGAAATTGATTTCCAAAGAATACTTCATTTTCGAGTAGCATGACAATCTAACAACAAGCCTTATATTTCCAACCAACGCCTTTCTGCAAAGTGTAAAAATCTACACTAATGCGCAAAACTTGCCAGACAAACTTTTAAACGTTCACCCTGCAGATGGGCTTGAAGTTGGAAGCGAGTTTTAAAAAAAATCGACATTTTCCTAATTTGTTGCCATTCACGGGAGAAAAAGACATCAAAACTGTGTCGCCTCGATGCCCTGGACTGTTGGACATGTAATCCACGCAACGTGACAACGTTCCACCCCTTACACTTGGGGGTGGACCACCCTTACCTCTGCCCCCCTCCCTTCAGCTCTGAGGGCAGTTTTCGAAACGGGACCTTCTCGGCATTCATCCTTAACGTATCGAGAACAAACATCCGATGTGTAGAAGTGCTCCCTTACGAAGGGGGTTGAAAATTTGCGAGCTGTTCCACCCCCCCCAAAGGGTGCCTATGGGGTGCACGGTATGGGTGATGGCATTTTCTGGATGAGGAGAGTTCAGAGAATGCATTGAGTCAAAAATCGAGACCGTCGTCCAAAAATTGTGGATTTTAGAGGTAGTGGGGTGTTGTGAGGAGTGGGTTTGTCCGAGTGCGATTTCAAGGGGTGCATTTTGTAGAGGGGATCAAACAGAGTCGCCCTAAATGTGTTTTTAATTTTTTCAACCCATTCGATCATCTCTGGCACTTTTATAAGTGATGTTTTTCGACGCTCCCCTCTTTAAGGGGGTGAATTAACCCCTTCGCATCAACCCTCGCCCATGTAACTTTACACACGTCCAAAGGACACTTCAAAACTACTCCTCGCGGAGTTTCATTCCAATCGGTTGAAAACTTCCATGTTTTCGAACCGCTTAAAAGTTTGTTCGTTAAGTTTTGCGCGTTAATGTATTAAAATTGAAGAAGAAAAGTATCACAGTACATTTTAAAATTGTCCTTTCACCTCAGGGCTCTTTCACAAAGCGATCATCCAAAGTGGAACTATAACGTCTAGCTGGGCTACTAAACAAAGTCGTCCAGCTCGCGGTAGGAAGCTTGCATCTCTCCTTGGAATAAACGCTACCGACCCCGAGGAAATGATTGAAAAGATGCGCAAGCTGCCTGCTAAGGAAATCGCCAAGATGCAGAATCGTATTCTCACAAAACAGGCAAAACTTTTTCTCTTACCGTGTCGCACAACCGTAAAATACTTAAGCACACGACAATCGTAAGTTCTTTCTACTGTTGCACAGGAGGCAGACATGTTCGACCTACCCTTTGGAATAAATTGCGACGAGGTAGCGGTAAACCCTGTGTTACCATTGCCACTTCATTATTTATGGGCACACGACAGTGCTGTTCCAATTATGGCAGGATACACGTCGGGCGAATCCATCATGTTTTTCAATGGTAACTTCGATTCCAAGCTAGTTTAGAATACGTATTAACGATAAACCTTACAATTAGGGAGGCAGCTTCGATGACCTTGACTTGTGATAACACAAGATGGGCTTAGACAAAAAATCTCTCACTATCTCTGAACTTTTTGAAGAAAGAATTTTTTCGAAGCAAATTGCTATAAAGATTTCTCAAAACAACTTTTTTTTCTTACATATTATTTTGAAGATTACTTCTTTCTTGAAATAAAAAAAAAATAACGAAATATTTCTATTATTTCAAATGAATTGATATTATCTTTACTTTCAAACAACTGTATTCAAAATAACGATTCCAAGTAAATTATTTCAAATAGTTACTCTTATTTCAATTAAAATTTGCCCAGGTCTGATACGATGATATCTTGTTTCAGATAATAAAAAGGAAGCGGTGGATAACTACAATCGTAATCTACCCGAGTACACGAAACTCTTAAGTGGGTTCAAAGAGTTAACACCCGCGGAAAACGATGATTTATTAAAAGACGTCAAGAATCGATACTTTGATGGACAAGCAATTAGCAGGGATAAAGTGGACTCGTTTCTGCGTTTGATGACTGACATCTACATTGGCATTCCCACCAAGTTATTCATTGAAGATCGTGTAAAAAGGACATCCATGTATACTTACTTTTACAGATTCAAGTATGTCGGAAATGAAAAATCGTTGACGGAACTCAGATCGAAACGTCTAGTCAATGGTATTTATATTTTATATACAGCGTAGGCTAATTAATTGTTACAAGTAATAATTACGTCAATACCATTAGAAAAAGAATATCAAGGGAAAAAGGTGAATGATTCAAGCATTTATGCATTCGACAGTTGTATTATTTTTTTTTAAGTGGAAATCCATATTTCTTTCCATAGATTGAACGCTTTCGTCATACTATGTATGTATCAAAGTATAAAGATGAAATAGTAGCAAATTATTATTTCACGAAATATTTTAAATAAATGCTTTATTAAAGAAAATGCTTAAACACATCGTACATTCTACACATTTTACATAACATTTTTTAATTTTTCATTACATGATTAAGGTGATCTATGGTTATTGTTGCACCTTGCGCATATATCGATGTATGAAGTGTTGATAACGTTGTCACGAAGCGTTTCAGCATCTCCTTCATTGAAGACAATTATTTATAATATCTCGTGCAATAATTATTTTTGTACCACTTCACTGTTTTAATTTTATATTTTTAATGAGAATAATAAATAACGAAACAATTTAATGCACCATTGAATTTATAAAAAATGTACGGTTCTACAAATATACTGCTCTTTGAACCTATCATCTTTTTACCATTCATATTTGGTCCACTCTGTATTATGGTTTGTATCCACAACAAATGTACGGACTTCGAAACATTGAACATTTCAAAATTTATAGAGGCAACTAATGGGGACGAACTGCCGTATCTGTTCTACTTGCCTTCGTGCAAAGTTGACAATCCTGAACCACCAGCTATTGGCACGAAAGATAGAGTTGTTATGGAGCGTATGACAACCATGTGGACCAATTTCGCTAAGACAGGGTAAGCCATATGTCATTTGTAAAGTTAACATTTGACGTGGAGTATATTATATTTAAAACTCACAAAAAAAATTTACATGTCGAATTGAGTAACCTCCTCCTTTTCGAAGTCAGTTAAAAATTGCTCGACTTGACGTAGAAGGATTCTTATGGAAATTGACATATTTTATTTCTGTTTTATTCGTAAAGTTGACATTTTACCTGGTCATATTTCAATTTCGCAAAAATTCCTCGACTTGGCGTAGAACGATTCTTATGAAAATTTAAACGTTTCATTCTGCTTTTTAAAGTGATAAATTCAATATTTTTAATGCAGGCATCCAGCACTACGAAGGAATGATTTAATCAAGACCGCTTGGAAAGTTGCGGCTAAGAATGAGTTGAATATTTTAGAAATTGGCGAAGAGTGTGAGTTGATAGTCACGGAACCGCACGTGTTAACCACCAAGGAAAAGTTCACTATCACTGCAGAATCGAACGAAGAAATTATAAATACGTCAGAGTAAATTACATGCACCGCTGAATGGGTAATGGCAAGCATACCTTCCGTGTGTGTATACAAATTGCTCATTGACAGATTGTCAGTAATATATATATATATTTCATGCGGTGATTCTGCAGGCTAAAGAAAGACAAAAATAAAAAATTATGAAAATACGTTTGAGACGTTAAAATTTCATAAAATTTTGCCTTTATTATAGGAGATACAGAAGAAGTTTATTTAACATCTTTGTGTAAAATTTAAATCTTCTTGAGATATAGTCCAAACGTTTTAAAATATGTGCACAAATTACGAATATATGAAAAAAAAAGCAAAAGACTACAAGTAGTAACCATCATGGGACTCATAGAAGAAGATATAAAAAAAATCTTTGTTTTATAACAGCATGTATTTAATAATACCTTTGACAAAAGCTGGTCAAGAATTCCAGGCTATGGTGGTGATAACCTAATAAAGTTGATGCTCTCCGTGTGTTAGCGTTTTCGTGACTAATGCAATGCATTCCTTATCTCGACACTACTTATACAACAAAGTCTGAAACAGCAATGGTGAGATTTATGTTTAGATACAAATTTTGGATTCTGAATCAGAGCTTTGTCAGTGAAGTTCTCAAAGATATTTTCGAACATGTTGGAACCGTTTGGAAAAAAAAACTACAATAACGTGGACTGCATTTATCTGATTTCCTTCTGCAATCTAATCAAATTACATATAAATTACCTGGTCATTATTGTTGATTTACTTCCCGTGTCATTGTTCAAGAGAAGTGACAGTCGATCGGGGCAAGGTCTAATCGAGATCAATTGTTAATGTGGGAGCTACTTTTAAAATTGAAATTATCTGGCGTGTCGCACATATCTATATCTACATCTATATCTATATCTCGCTACTTGAAGCGTTTATCATTACACGCATCGACTACTAAAAATAGACTGGAGGTTCAAGTTTCCTGTTTAATATGCTACTATAACATACTATTTACGTTTTCTATCAATTTTTTCCATCTTTCATAACTTCAATTCAAATGTACAACAGTTACCAAAATGGTTTTTTGTATTACTTTCTATAACTCCGTTAAGTAGTATATTGTAGAACTTTTTCGTAATTACCAAGTGTCATTAATATTTTATTACTTGTTCGTAAAACTAAAAATTCTGATATGATACACTGATTGAGGTTACATATTCTTTATTTTGATATCATTATTCACGTATTACTTACAATTATAATAATACATGTAATCGCGTTTTTATGTCTGCAAGAAAAATAAAAGGTGCAAAGGAAGTAAAATGATCAGTACATTATCGTGCTACGCTTGCAAAATGTCACTGACAGCTATTTACACGCATCGAAAAGGCAAACAAACGATACCTATCGCGTTTTTTATCGGGTCGCAATAAAATCGTCAATATTTAATACGTAACACGTTGAAGTTACCGTACGTATCTACACAAAAAAGACAGTCAGTAACTAATAATCGAATTTTCATCCGTTCTCGATCGTTTCGCACCGTAAAGTTTGCCAGTGCAATTCCGATTGAAACCTAGAAAAGTGATCACCGTGACGCAAATATGTGGCAATATATTGCTAGGTTCTCCAACGCAAACATTCGTCTTGGACTACACGTGACTGATAAGAAAATTCTTAAATAAATAGATTCTTATTATAATCGTGATTTACTTACTCTACTGTTCAACACCTCACTATCGCGTCAATGAATTTGTATAATATAAAGAGTTTAAATACAGAAGTTTTCGAAAATGTTATTTATACTAATCTCATTGTTTTTTCTTATCGAGTTTTCATCGATCATAAATATCCCCTAGAATTTATTCAAACGATTGAGTATTCTCGTATTTTGTGGAAAGGTCGATTCCCATTCGAACGACATTAACAGACTGCGGATCTTATGCGATTATGCACATATGAAAACTGTGTACAAAACGTATGCAGAATGTAAGCACTCGTCCAAATTGGAATATTGATTGATATCCATTCGTTCTATTCGTTTAAAAAATATTAATCTAGACACATTTTTTACGTATTTTTCCACGTTAGCGCAGTATAAAATGCGTAAAATCCGCAGTCTAAGTCATCGAACTCGTGGCATGCATTACTTGTTCCAGAATGCAAAAGCTTTCTGTATCCTTTCGTTGTTGGGCTTTCCTGTCGCCACTGTAGTCGCAGGATACGTGCGTTGTTGCGATACCTGGGTGACGTTTAAAGGCGGTTTGGACGCGGCTGCTTCCTTTTCGAACAACTTTGCGGTACGACTTACGTTTCCGGTCGGGACGAATTTACTCCGAACGCGACCGATTAGCAGCCTTGGGTCCTCAATATCGCTGGCAACTGCAAACAAAGATGCTGTATCGATATACATAATCAGACTTGTAGATATGTTTTTCGTTTATACAAGTCGTTTATAGTAGCATCAATCATTTCATAGTATTAAACAGTTTGAAATTTCGTTAAATTCATAGCTAGACTGAGGATGTTTATGCAAATTCATATTTTCATAGATACAGAAAAAGAATTCAAGTATAAATGAAAGTTTGTCCTGTCTTCCAAACGGTGTAACATGAACATTATATCGTTGATATTTTATATGTTTTTGCATTTATAGACATTTTCATGAATTTTCCCATATTTTCACCTGCCATGAAAATCCGCAGTCTATTCATAGAAATTCTTCAATGAATAGTAAATCCAGCTCGTTGTATCGAATAGTTTGAAATTTCGTTAAATTTATAGCAAGCTCTACCCACAAGGTTATTATTTATAATAAAATGTTTCCAAAAGGAGCTTTAGCATTTTATTTCTTCTACTACGTTTAACTGCAATCACGTAAACTTTTTATTCTGGTAATTGTTCCATGGATTTAATTAATGGAAAATTTTAATAAAACTTCACCTGATTGATCTTTGAATAAATATGAATCATACGAGTCTATTTTGATTTAAATTGACCACGTCAGTTTACTATGGACGTGTGTGAGAATATATGTAGTAAGACTATTGTAGAAGTCTAAACGAAACATAAGGTACGGGGATTCGAAACCACGATCCTCGGATCCACAGTCGACCGCATTACCTACGCGACCAATCCCGTACCCTAAGTTTCGTGTTCTTGTTTGACTCCTTATTGTTAGGTATGGGAGGCGCGGATACTACACTATACTTAAAAAAAATGTCCAATTTTACTTTTGAACCTAACTATCTCGAAACAACTACCTAAAAATAAAAAAAGTCGGCTATAATCCGTACCATTCGTATTTTACTGAAAAACAAAAACCTAAATTCTCTTTTGGGAAACCCTTTACAATAAATCGACCAATTAAAACAAACTTAACATCAAACACACCTTCATGCCGATTACTTTCACGCGAAGCTTTAGTCACAGCACTCAGAGTAGCTACGTTTTTCGTTGTGTCGGTCGATTTCGTCGAAGGTTTACGGAACTCTTCCATCGTTCCAGGCACGTCTTTAATGTTACCATTATTATTCTCATTATCTTCTTCCTCCTTAATGGACGAGATACCTAGCTCGTTCACGTGCTGCGAAGAGGCCGATAAGTTGGAGACGCAGTCGCCGATCCCCGAGTCCCGCGAGTCACCTCTGAAGACACGTCGAAGCTTCTGTGAATTTACGCTCGTTTCTTGCTCCGATTTCTCCTTCGATTCCTTCTCCAGGTTAGCAAACATCGCCTCATCCTCGTTAACGCGATGTTCTTCGCTCAGCATCGAGTGTATTTCGTAGGATTCTGCGACGTTAGTCTGTTCGTCGAATATCGACCGCGTAAACACGTCTTCGTGGACATTAGAAAGATTCTCGTCCCCGTATCGTGATTCTATGGCGCGTTCGAACGTGCTGCTCGGATTTCTCGCTTCGAAATTGACGCTTTTTATGACGGACGTGTCGTCCTTTATCGGTACACGCCGTTCCATTTGGAGTTGCGTGACGATCTCGATTTCTTCTTCCAGCCGTCTCACAGGGGCTAACCCTTCCAAGTAAACGTTGCTTTGGTCCTCGGTTTCCCCAGAGCTCGGTTTCTCGGTATCCGTTTCGCGAGTCTCTTCGGTTACATCTCCGCGTGAACACGATCGCGTGACGTTCCTCGGAGTTGGAAGTTCGTTTCTCAGGGACACGTCGTCAAGGTTCGATGGCGAGTGCGTGTCCATCTTTAGAGGAGAGTCTAACGTTTCTTCCGGAAAGATGCTCACCTCTGTCTTGTAACAGAACGAATACATGCTTCTACCGCGGTTGTCCGTCTCGGTTGGGCTTCTCTCGTTTCGGTTCGACGAGCTTTCAATGTTTTTGCCAGATTTGCTCCTATATTGACCGTCGCCGAGTACTTCGGAATCGATCATTCTTGGTGATTCGATGGGATTCGATGTTGGTTCCGAGGTGGGTGACGATTCCGCCGTCGCCGTAGGGCTTCGTCTGCTGTTTGCCGAAAGGATTGCCATCCTACCCAATGCACGAATGGCGTTTCCTGTTTTCTGTTTAGACAAACGAAAGCACGCGCACAAGCAACGCGATCAAACACCATGCTGAACGTTAGTACAAACGGGAAGTTAGATTTTGTATATTTGGTCACTGAGAAAAGTGGCATTTGTAATCTCTTGTTGTGTAAATGGTTGGACGTTGTTTTTAACCCTTTGCGCTCGAGATGTGACTCTCAGTTACATCTTAATGCGATGCAGTAAATCAACCAGCAATAATGTTTGTCTAAGTTTAATTTTATTGGAACCTGGAGTGTCAATAAAATGATTGTCGAAGGGGTAAGGGTGACCTGAGTTTTAAATCTCAAATTAGAAATCTCATCTTCGAAGTCAATCTAAGCTTAGCATTCGTGGCAATAGATTACTAAGACAGCATCTCGAGTTGCTAATAGATACCAGAAGAAAGGCCTCGAGTGGAAAGGGTTAATAATTGATACAATGTTCTGGTATATGTATCCTGTAACTATAATAATCGTGGAGGAGTATTTTTCAAAGTAAGAACCCGAAAGAAAATTTTGGATGGAGTTAATGTGGACAATTTAAACGTTCTGTTTTATCAAATTCAAAGTTTAATCTATGTTCATTGTTTAAATTGGGTGAGATATACATAAAGAGCCGATTTAGGCGATCTCTCTTTGGGGGTAGCTCTAAAAGTTGGAATTATTTTTATATTTTTAGCTGTGTATCGCTAACGGTTCAGAATCTTTAAAATTATAATGGTAGGTAATTCTTGATCTTTATATGTAAAACCGATTAAACATAAATGAACATAAGAAGGGAACACTCGAAAACATGGGCATACCAACGCAGACACGACAAACAAAATCTAAAAGATTCTTACCTGCCATTTTCTTCGTACGATAAACTTCTTCAGTTTTTCCGTAGGCAAGGCTATCCTGCTCATGGCTTCCGCGTGTTGTGCCATCCAAGGATGCTCCAAACACTGTCTTGCCGACATACGCATTCTATG